AAGCGGACCAATGGCGTGGAGCCCACGTCCGTCCACTGCTGTGAGGCAGCGCGACGTGGCCGTCGGTGGGTGGAACAAAGCAGGAACCGTCAGGAAAATGTCCTCCTATCTTCTTTGTCAAGAAGCGAGACACGTGCAGGCGGAAGTGTGGCTGCCAGGTAACCTGCTAGTCCTCCCCGCAGGGACAGGAAGTGAAGTCCACACGCCTTGGGTCTCGGCGGTTTTAAACTAGGTAGGCACAGCCGCCGTAAGGACACATCCCGCTCCCCATGGAAAAGGCTGCAAAAATACATCCAACAAAACATAACAGACCAAAGAGCCAGAAATCTTCAAACTTACTCAGCAAAAATAATTCTCTAGGATTCTAAATACTGTGCTTTCTTCTGTTTGCTCAGTGTTCAGTCGACCGGAAGCCCTCGTCCAGCGCGTTTTATTCTGAATACACATCTCTGAGAGCAGCTGACGGGTTAACTGGCTACGGCCAGACTGCGAGTTTACACACGGATACATGGGCGTCTGTGAGCGTCCCCGTCCTGCCCTCCCGTCACATCTGTGGGCTTGGACACTGGGTCCCCAGCATGAAGCACCTCTCCACCTCTCCGGACAGAGTTCGAGTTTGTTCTGCACCTGAAACATCTTCCCCGGAACCTCAGTCAAACTGGGAAACTGCTGGGGAACCACCTGCTCCCGTGGACCCTCTGCCGAACCGAGACCCGAGTCTACGGAGAAACCACGTAGGACAAGTGCTTACGCTTTCCGTGGCCGCCCACGTCCCCCCGGGTCCCGGGGTCCAGCTTCCCGGGGGCCGCGCCGCCGCCGTCGGCGGGGAAGGGCTGCACCTGGGTGCCGGCGCCCGCCTCCTCGGCCTCCGTGAAGAACTTCTCGTAGCGGTCCAGGTACGGCGGCCTCTCGGGGAGGAGGTAATAGTGCGTGGAGCTGACCTTCTTCCCGTTCTCGATGATGGGCAGGATGCAGGGCGCCCGGCTGGCGGAGCCTTCGCTGAGCTGTCTTTGCAGAGCTTTGCTGCTCACGTACTTGGGGTCCGGGGCGAAGCTCTGCGTGGGGGGCATGACCCCGTTGAGGTAAGACGGAAGGCTTTTGGGACTCGGGGTGCGGGAGTTGCTCCGGGACAAGGGCTCCCTGGGTGGCACTTTGGGGGGCCTGTCTTCGTCGCTGTAGGTGCTGGAAGTGACCTCTGCCGACCACCGTCTGTAGTCGGGCTTCACGGGCCGCGGAGGGATGGGGACCCTGGGGGGGACCTCGGGCTTGTCTGTGTCGGGGTGCGGGGAGGCGCGGTGGGTGTGGCCGTGCACCGGGGTGCGGGAGTTGCTCCGGGACAAGGGCTCCCTGGGTGGCACTTTGGGGGGCCTGTCTTCGTCGCTGTAGGTGCTGGAAGTGACCTCTGCCGACCACCGTCTGTAGTCGGGCTTCACGGGCCGCGGAGGGATGGGGACCCTGGGGGGGACCTCGGGCTTGTCTGTGTCGGGGTGCGGGGAGGCGCGGTGGGTGTGGCCGTGCACCTTGATGGCCGGCTTGTGGAAGGAC